TCTTAAAGAATGTCCTATTGTTGTATTGAATCGACAATAATGTGAACATATTTTTCACTATTTATTAATAAATTAGGTGTGAAATAGAGATGTTGTAAGAAATATGTCGTGAATTGCCCTCCTTTTCCTCCAAACGAAATACGGAAATATCCGCCGAAAAGACATTCAAAACTATAAATAGTAGTGAAGAATATATTAATGTATACAAAATAAATTGTATATAATATTTATTTTTACGATTATATTTATTGTCTTTCATTCTTGTGATAAACTCTTTATATATGGAGAAAAAATCAAAGCCTAAAATCTAATGTCTAAAAATTTCAAACATTTATTATCAAGAATTCAGTAACAAATGAATGGCTTTTTGTATAACTTATTTTAGCCATTATGTGGTCTATATATCTACGAATCGCCCGTTTCTTTAAATTGAAAACTATTTTTCTTTATTGAGAAAAAATTTAATATTTGAAAAGAGAAAAATTATTTAATTCATCGTCTGTTTGCTATTCGCAAACGACTATAAGGCATAGCATAAACTGAATGTATAACTGAAGGTATAATACTATAAATTGAATAGATTTTGAAAAATAATATGTATTTGTGTTGGAAATTAAGGTGCGATTCGTTTTATTTAAATGCAATTCTCTCTCTCTCTCTCTCTCTCTCTCTCTCTCTACGCAATTAACGGCTCACTAATCAATCTCTGTATTCATTAAATGACAACAATTTTTCACTTAAACCTAGAAATCAATGATAAACCGAATGCGGAATTCGTTTTTAACACTATTTATATTCAAATGCATATAATTTGTGAGTCAATCGTAAATTCAATTTAAAAATCCATTTGCAAAACATGTTTGTTGTAAAAACTTCACAACGAATTGAATTATAAAAGAGTGAAGAGATTATATGGAAAATATCTTACCTGAGGATGAGGTGAAAGAATCCATTTTACGACATATAAAGAGTCGCTAGACTTAACACATCCAATGTTCACTTGAGAGCGATATTATTCTGTTATCACAAAATTGATTTCACGACAATTCACTCAACGATTTCCTAATATAAAATAATTGGTAAATAATTACACAAACACTCAAAAAACATATACATTATCATAAAAATAGTAATTACATAATGTATATTGAGATTAAATTCTAAGCAGAATATCCATTGAAATTGAAAAACAAATGAAATAAATATTTGTCAAAAGTGCGACCAAAGGAAGTACTTTGCAGTAATACTAGTGTAGAATCTAATGTCAGTTTTGATCGCTTACTTTACTGACCGCTCAAACTTATACAACACATACACACAATATGATTGCATTTTTGTGAAAAATTTTATTTACC